CTCCGGGGATAAGGCCCCGGGGCCCTGGTGCGCAAAGCGCACGTGGACCCTAGACACGCTGGTGCCTTGCACCCCCTATCGCGTCCCCGAGGCCCCCCAGGAAGAAACACCCCCCGGGGGCCCCCCCGCCCCCCCCCCCCCCCCCAGCGCATCCGGCTCCCCAAACTCTCCCAGATCCCGGTATTCCTGGGCCCTGGCACCGGCTCCGAGCAGCGCTGGGCACCCGGGACCCCTCGGGGAGGCGGTCCGGGGGGATATCAGCGGGCAATGGGGGGACCCATCAGAGAGACATTTCCCCCGCGCCCTGGGCAGCGCGGCTGGCGGTGGCCGGGTTTTACGCCGGTTTCCCCACGTGGGATTCCCCGCTTCCCACCTCCTCCTCCGGCCTGTTTCGAGGTGCCTAAAAACCCTCCCTTGACCCGCCTGCTCCCAGCCTCTGCCCCGCAGCGAGTGCGAGCCGGGGAGCCCGGAGCAGACGCACGAGAGGGGGGTTCTTCCCCAAGGGTGCCCGGGAGTTCGCTCCCTTTAGGGAAGTTACTGGTCGCTGCGCCCTGGGCCCCCGGACTCCTGCCCCCCTGAGAGCTGTTACTCACCGTGGAAGTCCGAGAGCCGGGGGACCATCATTCCAGCGCGGATCCAGTGCTCCAGCGAGAACGATCCAGCCACTGCCGCGGCCTTCAGGTGCTCCGGGCCGGGCTGAGGCAGGTGGGCGAAGCCGGGATAAGGAAAAGCCGGGTGCGGCCCCCCCAGCGCCCCGATCGAGTACAGGGGGGGCGGGTACATGGCCGGCAGGGCGCTCAGTCCGGGAGGAGGCAGATGCAACAAGCCGGGCTTGGGGATGAATCCCGGGGCAGGCAGGGGGGCCACGCCCTGGGGCGCGCGGGGAGAGGGCGTCTCGGTGCGGGCACAGGAGCCGGGGCTCCCCGCCGAGCTCCCGGGGCTCAGGCCCTGCGGGGAGGCGCTCGGCACGGGCCGGGGGGGCTCCTCAGCCAGGAGGGCGTCGATCCGAAAGTTCCTGGACTTCTCCATGGGGGCTGCACGGCCCGGCCCGGCCCCCTGCGGACCCGGCGCCCTCGGGAGAGACGCGGGGGGCCCGTCGGCCACCCCAAGTCCCACAGACTCGCTGCTCCCCCGGAGGCAGGAGCTCCCCGCGGCGGCTTCACTCCTCACTAGACAGTCCGCAGCCTCCTCCCAGGGCAAGCCCTGCCTCTTCTCCAGGGGGCCGCCCGGGTCCCTTCACCAGGGCTCCTGGTCCCAGGGCGCCTTCACCCCCAGCCTGAGCGCACCTGCAGCGGCTCCGCCGGGATGGGGGCCCCGGCGCTGGAAAGTTTCGCCGCTCGAGCGGCTGGTGGCTTCTTTGCAGTCACCTCCCTCTCTCCTCCTCCTCCTCCGGCTCCCTCCCCCCCCCCCCCCCCCCCCCCCGCCCCCCCCCCGCCTCTGGACAGCCCCCCCCCCGCCTCTGGACAGCCTCCCCCAGGGTGCTTCGGGTTCATCGCCCCTCCACCTGCCCCTTTGCTCCCGGGCTCTCACTGCCCCCCCGCCCCCGTCCCCAGGCTTTGGACTCCTCCCTAATGCACGAGCGACTCCCCCTTTGCGGGTCGGATCCGAGCCAAACTCCAGTTTGGAGGAGGTGGGATCCGGAGGGCGAGGCTGAGAGACCAAGGGCAGGTGAAATGCAAACTCGGGGCCTGACCCCGGCCCCGTTATGCCAATGCCCAGATCCCCAGGCCTGCAGGGCCCCGGGGCGGGGGGGGGCGCGGTGCCTTTGGCTGGTGGAGAGACGGGAACCAGCAGGACACGGAGAACGTCAAACCCCAAACGAATTCCGTGAATTTTCAATCCGAATCTCCATGAAATTTCAACGCGAATTTAAACATCCAGGCGGCCAACGGGAACCGGCGAGATCCGAGTAACAGACTCGCCAGGAACCGGAGGGCGCTTAATTAATTGTTACTATTGCTGGGGGGGAGAGGGGGGCTCCTTAGCTCTGAACTGCGTTGCAAAGAGAGACTCCAAATATGTCGCTAACTGTAAAACACCCCCCCCCCGCCGCGCCCCGCAGACTGAGCGATCCAGGCTGCTCGGGGCAGGTCAGTTGTGTCCCCCGAGTCCTGCCCCCTGCCTGGGGCTGGCTGTTACTACCCGGGCCAGGCAGCCTCCCACCTCCTGCCCGGCTCCGCTCCTGGGCCGGTCCAAGCGAGAGCCGGACCCAACGGAAGTCTGGGGGCGCTGGCTCTGGGTCGGGTTCGAGAAGGAGCCTGAAGCCAGCTCCAGCCCCGCCTGTCTCGGACTCGCTCCCAGCTTGCGGGGTCTTGGGGGCGCATCTCCGCCCCCCTCCCGCTCCAGCAGCACTAGGGAGGGGTCTGTGCGTGTCACGGGGGGGGGGGGTGTTGATCCACCTCTTGTGGCCACAGCCCATTCCCTGGGCACGGGCCACACGCCGGTTCCAGGCCCAGGAGCTGGAGCGAAATCGGTTCGGGTGCCGGTGTCTCGGGGGAACAACGCGCCCCCGCCCCATAATCCCACAGCGGCCTCGCGCTAATAGTGCAGCGCCGCTTTACACGCTCGCCTCGTGGCGATTCGCTCCGGGACTGGTCTAACCCGGAGCAGACCCCGTGTGAACGGAAGGGCCGCGCTGGCTGGAGGAGCAGCGGCCCCTGCTTTGGGGAGGGAAGAGGTGTCCGTCTCGCTGGCTGGCTGGCTCCTCCGAGGGGCGAGGGCCGTCCTGCGCCAGCGCCGAGCCCAGCCGGGCCCTTTGCCTTTGGTTTGCGCCACACTCCCAGCTACCCGGGGGGATGAGCCATACCCCGCCCGCAGTGCCGGCTGCACAGGCCCTGCTCTCTTCCTCCCCGCTGCCCCGTCTCCTCCGCGCTCCGCTTGCCCACTGCCCCTCTCCACATTCCTGCCTTGACACGTCCCCGCCCGCCCCCCGGCGGAGCCGCTAGCCTGGGGGTAATGGGGGTCATTGGCGCCGGACTCCGCTCACGCCCCGGCCCTGGGTGTTTCTTTTCCCACACAAACGCGCCTTTCCCTGACCCCAGAGATTATTCACGCTGTTGACTTTCGATCGGGGGAGGTGTTTCACCTTTGATCTGAGCGCTTATTTTCCTTGCAAAAGTCTGTACAGGCGCTAAATTACCCCCTTGCAGATAAGGGGAAATTAATAACGAGCCAGATGTTTGTAGAACTCCTGCCCGGCTTGTTTGCCAAATGTTCGGGGGGGTGGGGGGGTTCAGGCAGACACCGGCCCAGGCTTCCCTGGAAGCTTTGCCTGCGGAAGGCCTGTAACCAAGGGCAGCTCCTGCTCCCAGGCAGAGGCAAACCTCGGCTGGCCAAGGCCTCCGCGGGAAACACCTGCCTGCAGGAGCCAATGAGATCCCTGCTGAGGGGAAGGCCGCAGAAAAGGCCAGAAGGTGAAATTCACAAGCCTGTCTCTACCCATCTACTCCAATCACAGCAAACCTGCCCTGAGACAGGGCCGGACTGGCCAGCCCCAGGGTCCATCCAGCCCCCACAGCGGCCAGTGCCAGGGGCCTCAGAGGGAATGAACAGACCATGGCCATTATCGAATGATCCGCCCCCACCCCTCCGCTCCCAGCTTCTCTCAGAGGCGGTTTCCTTAAACCAGGGCAAACCCGTGTGTGAATGTTCTTAAATCGGTTTAGAAATGGTTTACCTCCTCAGGCCATGTCTACACTAGAGGACTAACAGCGGCACAGCTGTAGGGGCTCCCAGGTAACTGCTCTGTGCTGATGGGAGAGCCCCCCCCCCCGCATCATTAAACCACCCCTAAGGAGCGGCGGGAGCTGCGTAGGCAGGAGACGCTGTCCACACTGGCCTTCTGCCAGGGAAACTTACCTCAGGCAGGGGAAAAAACTGTTTTCTCCACACCCCTGAGTGACATAAATTATACCCACGAAAGCTTATGCCCAAATAAATCTGTTTGTCTTTAAGGTGCCACCAGACTCCTTGTTGTTTTTGTAGATACAGACTAA